TTTTTGGGGGGGGGGGGGGATAAATTTATCGAAGCCCTTTATATTTGCTTTTGCCGAGGGTAGCCTGATTTAACCGGTTTTTCAATGTTTGAAGGCCTTTAATTTATAGCTAAAGTCGGACTTCTCTGAGCAACATTATTTTGGCCATAGCCTTTATATGATCGTAGTCTTTAGTATGGTCGTAGCCTTCGGGTTTGTCACTTGGACTTGTTTCCCGATAACTTTCTGAACTTGTTTGAAAAAGTTAGCCCCGAGTTAGTATATTGGCCTTGGCCTTTGTTTCTAGGGGGTGCATCTTTGAGGTCTTATGAGTCCGAGTTTTCGTTGACTCAGATGTACTGATTGTCAATGACAATCCCCGAGTATTAAGGTATACTTTTATGCTTTGGCTCTTGAGTCGTTTCCTATAGGATTATAAGTGTAGAGCTCGTATAATAGTAGACTTCTTTGAGACAGAAAGTGTTGTTGATATTAATAGAATGCTTCTTCAAATAATTAATACATGCATACATGCTTTGCCGTCGGAGCTCGACTATTCTATATGGACATGGTTCATCTGATCGTTTGGCCCATTATACAGTTTTCCTATCGAGGCCCTCTTAGGCGTGAAGTATTTTCCTTGAAAATATAACCTTCGAGGGTGATGCCCCCCAGTATTTGAGGTTTATTGAAAAGAAGCATTGGATATTATTGAGTTCTCCTTAAGTAGGACGTGGTTGTTGCCTCGTTAAAAACCTTGCCGGTAAAACTCATTTGGGACAAAACCGATCTAAGGGAAAAAAAGTGCAATGCATGCTTTAAAACCTAAGGCCTTCGTATAAAAAGGGTGTCTTCAAGATCACATGCCTTCGATAGCTTCGATCGAAAATCTGTAACAATTTAGTTTTAAACTCAAATGTATAAAAGGATAAAGTCATACCTTAGTACTAGTATCGTTTGAGCAATGATATGTTCCAATTATTTGGCAGTTGTTCACCTTCCATCGTGCTAAGTTTGTAAGATCTTTTACCGACAACTCCGAGGACTCGGTATGGTCCTTCCCAATTCGGGCCTAGTTTCCCTTCATTTGGGTCTCGATTGTTGAGGGTGACCTTTCGTAGAACTAAGTCCCTGATTCCAAAATGTAGAAGGTTGGTCCTTCTATTGTAGTATCTTTTGATCCTTTGCTTCTGCGCGGCTATCTGAACTTCGTTGTTTCTCGCTTTTCATCTAATAACTCGAGGCTAACATTCATGGCCTCGTGATTTGACTCCTCCAATACATGTCAAAACCTGGCACTGGGTTCTCCAACCTTGACAGGGATGAGGGCCTCGAAGCCATATATTATAGAAAACGGGGTGGCCCCGGTGCTAGACTACGATGTCGTCTGATATGCCCAAAAGACCTCGTGTAAAACTTCTCTCCATTTCCCTTTTGCATCGTCTAGTCTTTTCTTCAAGTTTTGAATGATAGTTTTATTTGTTGACTCGGCCTATCCATTTCCGGTTGGGTGGTACGGTGTCGATAAAATCCTCTTTATTTTATGTGCTTCGAGGAACTCTGTTACCTTGCTGCCGATGAATTGCTTTCCATTGTCATATACAATCTCGGCAGGTATCCCGAATCGACATATGATATGGTCCCAGATAAAGTCAATAACTTCTTTTTCTCAAACTTTCTCGAAGGCCTGTGCTTCCACCCACTTAGAAAAATAATTAGTCATAAATAAAATAAATTTAGCTTTACATGGGGTCGTTGGTAAGGGTCCAACTATGTCCATTCCCTATTTCATAAAAAGCCACAGGGATAGGACTGAATGGAGTTGTTCTTCGGGCTGATGGATTATCAGTGCAAATCATTGACACTTATCACATTTTCTGACAAATTCCTTAGTATATTTTTTCATGATATCCCAGTAGTAACCTGCTCTGATAATTTTACGGACCAAAGACTCGGCACCGTAATGGTTCCCGCAAGTGCCTTTGTGGATTTCTCGAAGGACATAATCGGTGTCCCCTGGCCCTAAGCATACCACCAATGTTCCATCGAATTTTATTCGGTACAATGTTCCATCTTCATCTAATGCAAACCTAGCAGCCTTGGTTCGCAAGGCCCTCGATTCTTTGTGGTCCGATGGGTGTTTTCCACTCTTCAAATAGTTGATATACTTGTTCCTCCAGTCCCATGTTAAACTCGTTGAATTTATCTCGGCATGACCCTCTTCAACCACGGACCTCAATAATTGGACGACAGTCCCCGAGACGATGTCATCTTCTTTGACCGAGGATCCTAGATTAGCAAGCGCATCAGCCTCACTATTTTGTTCCCGAGGCACATAATCCAGAGTCCACTCCTTGAAGCGGTGCAAAGTTACCTGTAGCTTGTCCAAGTACAGTTGCATTCTATCCTCTCAAACCTCAAGACTTTTGTTCACTTGGTTTACCACCAATAAAGAATCGCACTTGGCCTCGATGACTTTTGCTCCCAAGCTTTTAGCTAGCTCAAGTCCTGAAATCATGGCCTCATACTCGGCCTCATTGTTAGTTAATCTAGGAGTTTTGATAGATTTCCCAATGGTATCACCCGTGGGTGGCTTCAAGACAATGCCAAGTCCGGACCCCTTCACATTCGAGGCATCGTCCGTGAAAAGGGTCCATACCCCCGATGCCGTACCTGAACTCAATAGGAGTTCTTTCTCCACTTTGGGTACGAGGGTTGGCATAAAATCAGCCACGAAGTTAGCTAGGATTTGAGACTTGATGGCCATTCGGGGTCGATATTCGATATCATACCCGCAAAGCTCGATGGCCCATTTGGCCAATTGTCCCGATAATTCGGGCGTATGCAAAGCATTTTGAAGGGGGTACGTGGTTAATACACATATAGGATGACATTGAAAATATGGTTTTAGTTTTCTAGATGCGCTTATCAATGCAAGTGCTAATTTTTCTAAGTGAGGGTACCTAGTTTCAGCCTCTCCCAGAGTTCGGCTGACGTAATAAGCAGGAAATAGCATACCTTGCTCTTCTCGAACTAGTAGGTCACTTACTGTTATCTCAGACACTACCAAGTATAGATAAAGTTTTTCATCTATCTTCGGGGTGTGAAGCAAAGGCAGGCTCGACATATATCGCTTTAATTCTTCTAAGGCTTGCTGACATTCCGGGGTCCATGCGAAATCCTTTTTCTTTTTGAGCAAGGAAAAGAACCGATGACTCCGATATGATGACCTCGAAGTGAATCGACCCAGAGCAGCTATTCGACCTGTTAACCTTTGTGCGGCCTTCACACTATCCACGACCGTGATGTCCTCGATGGCATTGATCTTATCGGGGTTAATTTCAATGCCCATATTCGACACCATGAAGCCGGGGAACTTACCCGAGCCGACTCTGAAGGCACATTTCTTCGTGTTGAGCTTCATGCAAATGAGTCAAATGGTCCTCTGCGTGCATGGACTTAACCAACATATCATCAATGTAAACCTCCATTGTTTTACCTATTTGTTCTTCAAACATTTTGTTAACTAGGCGTTGGTATGTAGCTCCTGCATTTTTTTAGCCCGAAGGGCATTACATTATAACAATAAGTCCCAAATTTTGTAATAAATGAAGTCTTTTCTTGGTCCCCTGGGTTCATCTGAATTTGATTGTACCCGGAGTAGGCGTCGAGAAAAGTTTGGATCTCGTGGCCAGCCGTGGCATAGATCATACGATCGATGTTGGGCAGTGAGAAAGAATCTTTCGGACATGCTTTGTTCAAGTCCTTATAATCTATGCATATTCTAAGTTTGTTTCCTTTTTTAGGAACTACAAATACGTTGGCTAGCCACTCGGGGTACTTTACCTCCCGAATAGATCCTATTTTAAGGAGTTTGGTTACCTCGTCCTTTATGAAATCATGCTTTACCTCAGACTGAGGCCTCCTTTTTTGCTTCACCAGTTTGAACCTGGGATTAGTGCTTAGCTTATACGTGGTGATTTTCGATAGAATCTGTGTCATATCTAAATGGTACCAAGCAAAGCAATCTATATTATCAATAAGAAATTGAATGAGTTTTTCCCTGAGTTCAGGGGTTAATCCCGTTCCCAGGTATACCTTTTTCTTGGGCATGTATTCGATCAAAATGACCTGCTCCAGCTCCTCGAAGGTTAATTTGGTTAGATCGGATTCTTCGGGAACGACGAAGGTTTGGGGAGTAAGGAAATCCTCATCTTCGCCTTCGATTACCTGTTGCTCTGATTCCATCGAGGTTGGAGGCGATGATTGCTATTTGGTCGCCTGTTTACCTCCGATGCTTGATTTCTCCGAGGTCGAAGGCTCTGGTATCGGCACCACTTCCTCAATCGCAAACATCTCCTTTGCATCATGTTGCTCTCTGTAGACTGTTTTCACTCCTTCCTCTGTTGGGAACTTCATCATTTGGTGAAGAGTTGATGGCACTGCCCTCATGTTGTGTATCCATGGTCTCCTGAAGAGCGCGTTATACCTCATATCACCTTCGATGACATGGAACTTCGTATCTTGTATGATCCCAGCTACGTTTACTGGCAAGATAATCTCTCCTTTTGTTGTTTCGCTTGCCATGTTGAAGCCATTCAGGACCCGAGATGCAGGTACAATTTAATCTTGTAGGCCGAGTTGTTCCATGACCCTCGATCTGATTATATTTGCTGAGCTACCTGGATCCACTAAAACATGTTTAACTTGAATTTTATTTAAAATGATAGAGATTATCAGGGCATCGTTGTGAGGCTGATATATGCCTTCTGTCCCTCGTCACAGAATGATAAGACGTCCTCAGGCACATAACTCCGAGTTCGTTTTCCCTGGTGATTGATACTTTGTTATGCTTAAACACAGGTCATTGAGGGGCATCGACTCCTCCAATGATCATGTGGATTACATGTTGTGGTTCTGCTTGTTCGTTTTTCCTTGCATCTCTCTCCCTGAGGTGATTTTTAGCCCGATCACTTAGGAATTCTCGAAGGTGACCCTCGTTAAATAAACGAGCCACTTCTTCCCGTAGCTGTCTGCAATCTTCTATCCGATGACCATGTGTGCCATGATACTTGCACACAAAGTTCGGGTTTCTTTGAGAAGGATCGGTCTATATTGGCTTGGGCCACTTGGTGTCTTTAATTCTTCCAATAGCTGAGACAATCCCTGATGCATCTATGCTGAAGTTGTATTCTGATAATCGAGGGGCCTCGGCGGGGTTGGTGTGCTTATCGAATTTTACTCATGAGTCCCCGAGAACTTTGACCTCAATCGTTTCTCCGATCGTTCTGAGGAGTGTTGCGGCTCGGGCCGCTGTTCCTTTGATCGGCATATGGCTGATATCGTTCTTTGTTGAATCTCGATTCCTGATCTATGTCCCTCTGGGGCTTGGCTATGAATCTGTTAGGATGAACTGAAACCGAGGGGGCTCCCAACTGGTCGTCCTCGACCCTGATCTTTGACTGGTAACGATTGTGCACATCTGACCATGTCACATCTGGATATTCAATCAAGTTTTGCTTCAACTGTCGAGACGCGATCGAGCTCCTTTCATTCAGACCTTGCATAAAGGCCTGTACTGCCCAGTCATCGAAGACCGGTGGTAATTCCATTCTTTCCATCTGAAACCGGGACACGAACTCCCTTAGCATCTTATCGTTCCTTTGCTTTACTTTGAAGACGTCCAATTTTCTCGTGGCCACCTTTATGGCCCCGGCGTGTGCTTTGACGAAGGCATCTGCTAACATAGAAAATGAATCAATAGAGTTAGGAGCTAAGTTGTGATACCAAATCATGGCTTCCTTTGATAGTGTTTCCCCGAATATTTTCAACAAAACTGACTCGATTTCATTGTCATTCAAGTCATTTCCTTTAATCCCACAAGTGTATGAAATTATATGCTAGTTAGGGTCGATTGTCCCGTTATATTTGAGTATATCAGGCATGCGAAACTTCTTCGGAATGGGCATCGGAGCCGCACTGGGGGGGAATGGTTTTTGTATGAACTTTTTGGTGTCTAGACCTTTCAAAACTGGAGGTTCCCCCGATATCTGGTCTACCCAGGAGTTATAAGTTTCCACCTTTTTGTCATTATCTTCAATTTTCTTCTTCCCGGACTCGATCCTCTTAGTAAGTTCTTCGAGCATCCTCATAATCGTGGGGTCAGTCCCTGAGCCACTTTATCGGGCCTTTCTAATGGTAGTACAGTACGCCGAGTGTTTACTGGTTCGACTGTGTTTGGAGTTCTATTCTGACTCTGAAGTTGAGCGATGGCGATTTTCTGAGCTTGCAGCATCTCGAATATCACTAGGAGGCTAATTTCCCCTTCTCCCATTCCTTGTGTTCTTTGGCCACCGGACCGGGCTTCCCTGCGTATATCTCTTTCGAGGTCTGCGCCTAGATCTGCATTCAAAGCAATGTATGAACTAACGTCAACAGGTTCGACATGTGGCACTTCCCCTGGGTTTATCGGTGGTACACTGACTCCTACGTTGTTGTTTTCTCCAAGACCTTCGTTGTCATGAATGGGTGCGTTTTGTTGACATGTTTCAGCCCGCAAATCAAAAAATCTTGACAAGAAAAAGTGTAAAAGCAACGTGTGTAACGAGAATCAGTAAAGATATAATCACTATTATTTGTAGCCTATGGTGAGCGCCAAACTATTTACCTCGAAAATACGAGTAACAATTAAATTTGATTAATGGTTTTAAAGATATGTAATTTAGTTCAATACCAATTAATAATCAAGAAATATGAAGTAAAAATAAAAGATAGAAGTGAATCAAATAAATGTTACTTAACAGCAGTGACCTCGAGGTGTCTTAGGGCAATAAGAAAAATTAAGTAGAAAAAGCAAAGTAAGAACAATAAAGCTAAAGGACAATTCTAATGAATAGTAGGCAAAAAGTAGAGAGTATATTCTTTTCTCAATGATCTGATCAGCTTACAAATGATTGAAGTCCCCTTTATATAATAGGGGAACCTTAAATAAGGAATATTTCTATTTACAGTAAGGAATATTCTTGGTACAACTGTCTAACCGCTTAGTACGGAATCGTACAACCCTATTTCGAGATTTGTGCCATGACTTTGGAGACGTGGCAGGAATCTAGCTCATTCTGGTACAAATCCATAACGGTACTATTTCGGGGTCGAGCATGCTTGACCTTGATATTCCTCGAACTCCTATCTCAGAACATTGCACTCTGTCTTCGAGCTCGAGTATGGTCCACTGGTCTCGAACTCAACCTCCCCCGGACTCGGGCCTAGAGCGGACCGTCGAGCCTGTAAATCGGAGGCATGCGATTTTGACCGTATACAATTGAACAATAGCTAAACGCAATATCTTCTCAATGATGAATTTAGTTGAGTTAGTTATATAATATTTATAGCTATGGATATCTTATTATATAAGATACAAATACGTTATGTATTGCATGTCACCTAACATCTCTTTATAAAATCATATTTATATATTTGGTTTTAACATGATACAGAATTTGCTCTTTGCAACTCAAGTATTCTTATATGTTCATTAAAAGTTCATCAAAATAATAGGTTATAAGCTAAGCAAAGATTTTCTTATGTAAAAAATAATTTGTTTATATTCACATTGGTTTAAATCTAAATCCCCTTATTGAAACATTCAAGAGTTCCACTGACGACTTTGAAATTTTAAGAGTTCAAAGTGCTAATGATAAATTTTCAAAATAGGGGGAAAATTTTTTATAGCCATTTTAAAATTTTAAATATATTAGTTTATCTAAAGTTTAAAATATTAGCTGTAGTTACATTTTTACATAGTATTATTGTACTTTAATTTGTTTTTTAAATTAATATTGTCATGTTAGTTGAAACTTTTAGAAATCTATGCTTAAAATTAAATCAAATTCTTAAAAAATTAAAAGAAAAAATGAACGTTCTGTTGATGTATCATGATTTATAGGTAATCGATTATTGGTAATATTTGGAGGGAAAACGACTTATAATCATAGTCTTCGAGGCTAGGAATGAGAAAACTTTAATTGCCACGTATTTAACTCCAAAAGTACTTCTGAAGTTCATATACTCCGTAAAAGTTGGTCAAGTAAGAAAAAATCATTTAAAATAAAATTTTCAGTTGAATTTGAGTCTAACTCCAAATTATTAAGACGTTTCACATAAATCAAATAAGAAAAAATAATTAAATGACTATTCCTAAATAGTAGAAAAATAATTAAATGACTATTTTGTCTAGTGTAAAATCTATTTTTAAAGGGTAAAAAGACGAACGCCATCTCGCAAATAGTTTTCATGCTTTTAATATAGTACTAGTCTTAGAGTACGCGCGTTGCACGTGAATTCTTATAAAAAAAAATTTAAAAAAAATCAATGGATATTATTATTTGACTTCTATATTATTTAAATAATATAAATTTAAAAGAATTATGGAGAAAGTTATACTTTAAACAGTCTTAAGTTTCTTATAAATAACAATACGATTTATTGCTAATCTCAATATATAAATTTGAGTATCTTATCTATGCTTCACTTGTCGAATATTATAATTGGATTTGTGATTTAATATGGGCATATATTACAATATATAAATAAAAAGTTATAAGTATACTGTAGTATTTATTATTACTATAATTATTATTATTTTTAATTTAGGCATGTCATTTATTTAAAGATATTTTCTTACTCGTCCTAATGTGTTTATATGTGTGGTTCACATTGTATAGTAAACTTTAATATTTAAAGATTTAAGGAATAAATTTATATAACCTAAATATTAGGAGTTTTTACATAGTTCAAATAAGAAAAGATTTAATACCAAATTTTAGCGGATTTCAAAGTCTTAAATATTAAAAAAGTTATTAATTTGCACTTTTATGTGATGTAAAATTAGTTTAAAATGGTAAAAAGACGAACGATATTTTACTAAGGAAAAAAACTTAAAGAGAATGCACCAGAGATATTAAACATCGGCTATAAGAAGAAGAGAAGTTAATATTGATCCTTAATAATCAGATGCGTCCAAACGGACACTAACAATTTAATGATGCTAAACAAAGAGATACAATTGCACCATGAAAATGTGAAAGTTAAAGATATAAAAATTTCAAACCTAAAATTGCAGTGATGGAAAAATTCTATTTTTCAGTTAAGAATTTGGTATACTACGTACTAACGAAAAAGAGCAGCTAAAATTTAATTTGAAGGAATTGTCCTAAATATAAGACAATTCTGAATTATAAGTGTTGTAATTTTATTCAATATAAGATTATAATTAATTTTAAAGTCCTAAATATAGGACTTTCTACATAGTAGTTAACAAGGAAAGATTTAAGATGTAAAATTTTATTTGATTTTAAAGTCCTAAATATTAGGAAAATAACTCAAGTTACAATTTTGTCCAATATGAAATTCATTTTTAA